CTGTACTGAGATTCAGATTTTAATACATCACTTTGTAGCAGTCCATCTTCTATAGAGAACCACTTTCATGGAGGAAATAGGAATATATTTTATCTCAAGTGAGGAAACCTACATTTCTGCGCATGAGTTTTCACAAGTTATTCAGCCTAGTAAGAGGTCAATAAAGTGAAGGAATTGAATGTGATCATTTTAAGTTTCTTCAACTTTGTTACCCTATGGTTTCTTGTTAGTAAAAGTAGATATGGTAGGTGCTACCTTTAATTACACTGCTAATTTAAGAAAAGATGCACACTCTAAAAGAATATTTATTTAATTACTAATTACCTTTTCTCTATATATTTTTGTTTCTTTTATAATTTTTTTTACCTGTATTGTACCCATTTTACCACTGTGTTTTATTTTTGGAAGTTAGAATAAGATTTTTTACAAGTTAGGGTAAGATTCAGATAAATGGTGAAAATCTACAGAGCAAGACTTACAGAACAAAGTTATCTCAGGCTGGGCCACAAGTCCAGAAGAAGGTGCAGCAAGGCATATCAGGGGAACAGTAATTAGACTACTCAGCTGGAGCAGCCTTTTCAGTATTGGGGAGATTATAAAGATAGGCTTTCAAGTATTTTTGTTAGAAATGCCAAGCCCAGAGGTAAGACTTTTAAATAGCGATAGTCCTAAACTATCAAATTTTTTGGATTGAGATAAAATGGTGAGAGGAAAATTTCTCTGTTGGGTTTTGGCAGAATTGAGTGGAAACTAAGGCAAGGGGTCAAGTGAGCAGTCAGGTGGCAAATGCAACCTTCGGAAGGGAGATGATAAAAGCCCAACTGAGGAGAGGCATTGGGAGAGACTTTAAAAGGGAGACATGGCAAAAAGTTAAAATTACCTAGATTAAAAAAATGAGAGAGATGAAAAAGCTAACTGTAGCTGAAATTCGGAGTTTAGGTAATCAGAAAAATTATTGAGAAGTCATATGGAGGAGCTAATTTTAATATTAATTCTCTAATAACGGATTGATAAGTCCACTTAGAAAAAGAAATCTGTTTTATAAAACCCAGAACTTCAGTACTGTATTTTCAATATCACATAAGATGCAGTCATTATTTGCTACAACTATGAAGTTTTTAAAAGGAGGTAACATAAACTAAATACGCCTTTTGTTGTCATAAAGGGTGGTTTGAATTGGTTGAAATAATAGTTCCAGATGATATTTTTGGACTTTTGTTGGCAATATTCATATTGGTAAATGTATGAAGTCATAAGTCACTGTAACCATAAGACTTCAGCTCTCAGTCCTTTTGAAATGCAGTTCACTGAAATATGTATTTAAATATATCACAAACTTTTATTGAAGCAAAGCAATAGTTAATGCTTTGTCAGAATTTTTAAAATATCACTGATAACTTGTTTTAAACCACAAACCTAGATTTTTTTAAACAAAAGCTGATTTATTCTTATATGAACATTTTTAGAAGATATAAAGAGACATGTATTAGACTTTAGTTTGACGAATTATACTCTAAATACATTTATTCATATGCTATTACATGTTATCATAATTAAAGGTAGGCTACACTTGTCAAAACAGTTTAATAAAGCAAGCTTTTCAGTTTTTTTAGATTTGTCTCATGTTCATTTGTTGACTTTCTAATTCACAAAATGTAGTTAATCAAAAATGAGACTTCTACAAATGAATTGGTAAGGTTCTAAGAAAATCATTAGGCTTACCTGATAATATAAACTACAAAGATATCTAAGTAAAATGATTACTTTACAAATAAGACGAAAACAATATCATTAGCATCAACTAAGGCAAATACAAAACAATCCTCCATATTAACAAAGAACATGAGTAATTTGGTAAGAAGTATCACAAATTAATAACAGTAATTTGTATTTGTTCAAGGTTTTACTGTATTTTCACATTCATTAAATAATTAGGGCCTCAAAACAACATGTTGGCAGGTGGTGTCCTTTAGAAGAGGAATGCAGGGGAAATTGTTAGGAAACTGGGTGGTAATAGAAGATACACAATTAATGTTACTACAGAAATACATATTTAGAAATAAAATGTGTGAAACCATGTAATTTGAGGAACAAGTACAGGACCAATACCTTGTGAAGGATTAGATAAAATTAAGCAGGGGTAATATATGTCATTTCTATAAATGTGACTACAAGAGAAACATGAGTTGAGGTTTGAATAAATAAATAAAACAGAAGATTCAACTGAGCTGAACTATGTATGTAACCCACTATGTGTTAGCAGAAGAGCTTTTATCCCATGCAAATAACACAGTAAAATTTAAAGCAAAACATTGGGTAAATAGCAATTTCCTATGAGACCATACATGGTCTAGTTAGCTCCAATCTAGAAGATATTATAAAAGGTTGGGAGACATTTCTGACCTATGAAAAGAATGCGGTAGAATAATTTAGTGGTTCTGTCTATTCAATAACTCTGAAGGCAGCAGACTTGTTGAATTCTGAAATTGCATATCCATGTTGCCTCATCCATTGTGCATTTCAGCATTGCTATCTAGGAAAGAACTGAAGCTTATAGTCCCAACGTCTTAGAAGTTCATTTGGGGTTTGTGTAATTGTAGCATCCTTTTGTTGATATTGTTTATTATATTGTAATGGAGGAATCCAGGTGATCTCAGGATACATACTTAATGACTCAATAGCCCCATTAGGTAGAAAGGGTGGCACCATTATATTCATTTTAAACCAAATCTCAAACCTGTTGAGTAATTTGATCAGGAGCACTTAAGATCTCGGAGGATCGAGACTCAAACACAGGCTTTCTGGTTTTGAATTGATATTTTTATACTAATATATTATCCTTTAAATTAATATTATATATACACATATGATTTACATCATCATGATACTAAATTTCTGTAGTACGACATTTATTTGGCTATTCTGGAGAGATAAGTATGTATCTTAAAATTAAGTTTATGTAATATTTGGGGGACAACTCATATAGGAACCTAATTATAATGGAAAGATTACTTATTCAGAAATTTGCCAACTAAAAATTTAGTATGCAGTTCTAAAATGTTTAACTTAAAAATGCCTATTGGTAACTATTCTCAGACAGAATTCAAACATGGTTGTTACAAATTGTAATAAAACTCAATTCTCATTATAGTAAATGTTAATTTTCCCCACTAAGTTTTCAGCGAGGTTACTGTAGATTCATTTCTATCTATGTTTAAAATAAAATGACATCCTAATTTATGGTGAGATTAAGTGAACATTAGGTAATATAAAAAGATAAGAAAGCAAAGTCTTCAGGAATCTGTAAAATATTCAAATTATTCAAACACCAAAAAATTATCCCTTTGAAACTGTGGTTGGCATGACTTGGGCCCTCACCCATATGCAGATCGTTTTCCATTTCTGGTCATATGGGGACTACAAACAAGACCATGTGACTAGTTTTGGCTAGTGAAACATGCAAACACGTCAAAGCACCAATCTTTGGTACACAAATCTTAACTGATGTAAAAGCAGTAAAATTCTCCAGTTGCCCCTTACTATGTTGTGATGATTCTTGATGAGAATGTTTGATTCCCAGGGTGAATGCAGCCTTTATTATTGAATGACTACTTGAGAAACACCTGCTCTGAAAATTCTCCCAGGCCCAGGGTGAATTCTGACACAGAGTTCACAACAAATAACTCAGATGTCTCTGAGATACTGGGGTTATTTGTTACCATGGCATACAAGCTAGTCTATCTTGACTAACACAAAAATACATTTATTTTTCTATCTTATATCTCCCAATACCTTTCTAAGGCAAATTGCAGAAAACGATGATGTTCAGATCTACAGATTATCTGTACACAACGCAGGATCGATGTTTTAGGTGGTGCTGAAAGATGGTAAAGAATATGGATTGTGGAGGCAGACTGCCTGCCTTATAATTCTAGGTTGACAACTTACTGGAACTAAGATTGTGGGCAGTCAGTTTTCAATGCCACAGTTTTCTCATATGTAAAATGTGAATAATAATTGTGTCCAAGACATCAGGTTGTTATGAATGAAAAAAAATGATGTTAGGAAGATGATGTTTTGTATTCATGCAAAAAACTTAGAAGAATGTTTAGAATAAAGTAAGCTCTTGATAAGGATTCCATAGCACATGTTTTGCTGCCATGAACTCTGACCCACTTGAGACACACATTGTTTTATTTAGCTGGTCTAAAATTCCTCTGAGTGGTTAGGATAATTGACAATTATGTTATGAAATAGAGGGAAATCATATCCATAGCCTAATAACAAAAGTATAGGAATGCTTTTATTAGAGAGAGTTTTAATGCACTCTTTAGAGGTTCCATGGAGTAGATCTATTGCTACTTTTGGCTCTAGGGATCAATGTTAAATAGATGAAATTCACAAATGAAACACCAGTGTATGATAGTGACACATTCAGGGTCAGTGGCATAATTCTAAGAAACAGAACTTCTTAGAAAAAGGATCCAAAATAATAGTCTTTGAACTTAGAGAAAAAATTAAAAGGTGAAGCCGCTGGTATAATACATGCGAAAATGAGGCTTGCATTATTCAGCAGCTCATTCATTTTAGATGGTAGCTAAATTGCCTGAAATCCCTTTCATATTCTGCTAAGATCAAACACATTAAGAATGTCAAAACAACATTAGGTAACCCTTTTCAAGCATCAAAATAACTGATCAGAATAACGGAAAGCTTCACAAAGTTCGGGGCTATGAAGAACACAATTAAACGGCGATACTGTGGGGAGAGAAAACATGGTGAGTCATGCTTGCAGCACAAAATGCCAGCCCAACACTTACCAAGAAGCAAATGTTGGTGGAGTACAATTTCTCCATTTATAAATAAGTGTACTAATTCCTATGTTATATATTAGTATTAAAGATATGTTAAGTTTCAGAAAGAAGTTAATATGTTAGTCTACCTATGAGTCTAGAAGCTATAAATTATAAGCAATATTTCCTCCTTATTTTCCCTGTGTCTTCACACAATTCTATACCCTATGTTGATTTAACTATATTTTAAAGAGAGAGCTATTTGAAAAGCTTCTTTATATTACACTTCAGGTTTTTTTTTCTCCAGCAGATGAGCATGATAAATCCAAATGCTTCAAATGAAATGACAGCCTACGTAACTGCTACTCCACAAAGATAAGGCTAACTGCAGTTTTACGTTCAACACTACCATGTGCCCTAATCGTAGCATCACATCTACCAGTATTTCAGAATCATGTAACTTGAAGAATTCGTAAACTCCAAAACGCTTACTGTAAACATTTAAACAGTGTCAGTTACACATTGACCCAGAGAATGTGATGTGGTTTTGTGAAAATGTCTAGTAATTTTCAGATGCTGTGCACTTTATCTACTTTTGTAATATGCCTTTTTATAGAACTTTATCGTTCATAAATACTTTCCCCACTTAGAAATCATCAGTATTTTATCAAAGTACATTACAATGTAATCTTTTGCTACAACTTGGAGCGTAAGTCATAGCAAAATGTGCTGGTGACAGAGAATTAGAAGCAAGAAACAAAGTCTTCAGGATAATTACAAGACTCAGCATCGCATTATCACATATAATCCATGGAAAAAAATTCAGTCAAGGCAGTGATTAATGACTTGATAACACCATTCCCTATGCAATTATATGCAGAATTACTCAGACTTTTCTTCACGGAGCACCAAAAAAGAGCTATAATTAGACTCTGTAGATTCTCTATAGATTCAAGGTCTTGTATAGTTTCAAAGACTGTGAGTAGCTGCTGCCCTGGACATGCTGATCTGTCCACAGAAAGCCATGTCAGCTGTATCATATTCCTTTATTCATTTAATAATTAAGATGCAGTTATAATTCAAACACAGGATAATTTAGGTTAATTAAACCACTTCTGCTAATATAATCATTTGTTCCAATATTATTCAATGAATGAGGGAATAAATGAATAACATCAAATTGGAAAAGTGAAAAATTTGTTTCTGTATGCCCTTCTATTTTTGTGAAGATATTTTTAGACTTGGCTTAAGCACAATCTTAAAAATGTGTTTTATTTCCCTTTACAACTGCTATAACTACTGGTAGATGGAAGACAACTTTCGTCAATTTTTATTTTATATTCACTTTTCATCAGTAGAAGTACAAAAAACTCCAAAAATGGGATAATCTTTGTCTAAAGTAAAAAAACAAATATTATGTATTCCAATTTAATTAATGAGTACCATGCCTTTTGAAATATATTCAATGTTTACAGTATGAATGGATATTTTCCTAAAAAGTGTATTACCATTTTACATTTTGTGGAAACATCACCTTCAAGGGAGTATGAATCCTAGCTCTGTGGTAAACACTATGTGTAAATAAAAATGTTCAAATGCACACGGTTAACAAAACACAGTTTCAAGTATTTGAGGAAAACATTTCTGTTTAAGGTCTTTAGGAAGAGGAAATATGTACTATATTTTATGATAATTTAATGGATGATACACAGAGCTTACACTTCAACATTTACATTTTGAAAGTAATGTTGGTTGATTATAAAAAAACTGTGCTGTCACTAATGACACTTTAATTACAAGTTTGCAGGCAAATATGATGCTTTATGTTAATTGGTTTTTGTTTTACAAGTTTGTATATATGTAAAAATATAACTAAGTTTCAGTGAATGCTGCAAAATTATCACCTGGGCAAGAAAACCTATTGGCAAAATATATGCCATGCATTAATAAAAAATGAAATAGCATGGAATAAATAAATTCAAAATAAGTCCTAACTGCTATAATCTAATATTAAATGTTGATTATAAATAAACTATCATAAGAGAGTAAGGTCCTTATTAGTAAGGTCAAAACTGTAACATTTTGGGGATGGTATTCAACTCAGATTTCTAAGCCAGTAATTAGTTATTTCTGTGAATAAAAACAGGTGTAGTTTTGGCATATGTCACCAATCACACAGAAAAATATGATCTTTCATGGAGAAGCTTTGTCTGTACTTAGAGAAAGAGAAATGGATTTGGAACTCTGAGGTTGTTTTTAGGCTTCTGGCTCAATGTCCTTAGTCAACCAGCTTGAATGATTCAATTTATTCATCTTGCTTTATTGCAAGGAAATTATCTGTTCTGTGGGTGGTGTGTGGTTGCTAGAAAGTTATACCTTGAGATCAGGGTTGGTTCCTAGGCATCGAAAAGTGTCACAGTCTTAAGCTACAGGGTGATTATTAGGTCACAGTAACTGGCTGAAAAGGCAAGATGCATTGAAGAAAGAAAACTGCATGTCTCTACAATTGTTTATAATATTTAAGGGTCTAGCTCTTGGTAGACATGTGAAAGGAAGTAATTATTTAACTATAGAAATATGATAAAACCCTGGTTTTATTTCTATCAAGACTAAATACATGCATTAAAAAGTTAAGAACACATTATTTTTGTATTTAATAAGTCTATTATTTATTTATGTGACTCATATCTATCAAAAACATACTAATAAATAATACAGTTAAGAAATTTTAGATTGTGGCCTTTCTTGATTATGGATCTATGTTTTGTAACTTTCTGATTATTGTAAGTTGGATTATTTTGCTTTCCTTATCTTCATGTCCAGCACCTACAAAATATAATGCATGCTGACGAAATATTTAACATGACATTCTGATTTTCACTAATTTGATTGTTCCTTCATAAAATAAGGCCTATTTTCTTTTTGTATTCCATATAAAATATATAATCATTTTTAATAAGAAGCTGTCAAAGACACTATTCCAAATTACCATGATATAGCTTGAAAAAGGAAACAAAGAGAAATATGATTGAAGGCTACCTCTCTGCACAAGGATTACAGTTTTGAGATCGAAAGCCAAATGTTCACAAAGCCACTTGATTCTTTATCAAGTTGTGCAATAAATACATTTCCACCAAAGATGACTCCCTTTACTCTTACCACTAAATGAACCAATTTTGTTTTCAGGAACCTGTCCTCATCATAACTGTAAAGGAGAGAAACTCATTTCTAGCTCCAAGACAAAATATCTCCTCAGTTGAAATTAATGCAATTGGAAGCTAAATGTGGCCCATGGTAGGGCGGTAAAGTTTCTGAAGTTAGTAAATAAGACTGAAGAGAAGGATTTTTATTTGATGTTAGAAGGAAAGATTCCTTCTCTTTCTTTTAGAGAACAGCAACAGCCCATTGTATCTTTCAATTCTGAGAGGGAAAAGATTACGGCCAATGCTGAACTCATCCTCATACCAGAAGCACTTAGATTTTCCCCTATAATTCTCTTATAAATGTGAGTTCACTTGGGGAGGCAGAGAGCTTGCTAATTCAGGAGGCAAAGCACCCCACAGACTCACTGTAATAGTTTATGGTACATCCTGGAAGAATGCTGAGTATGAGGAGGGCTTGGCAACATAGGGAGAGTTCAAGAGAAGGTTCTTGAAGTACCAAATGGAAGTATAACATATGCAGTGTGTAAATTTCTATTTATGATGTGGAGTATGATATTTCATTTAGGAAATTCGGATATGCACTCACTGTAACTTCTCCAAACTCCATCAGATTGGCTACTCATTTTGATGAATGTTAAACTGAGATTAAATGAATCACTACTTCATTTTAATTCTGAGGAACATTTGGTTTTTATCATTATTTACTATTGTTTATTGATATAACGATATTTCCACAGACCAAAGTATTTTATTACATATATAGCTGAGCATATAATTCATAATTGTATAATATAGAAAATAAACTTCTTGGTATTGTCCTCAGCATTTAATAATGAAAAACTAGTGACAAACATCTTTAGAAAAAAATAATAAAATAGTCCTCCAGTATTAAAATGTCCTAGTAAAAAGCATTAGATCAAAGTTAAGAATATGACATGTTAATGCATAGATGACTTAGGCATAAATAAAATGAATCAAATCCCAGCTCTTACAGTAAATCAAAATAGGTGAAATCTGCAGGTTCACAGTTTGTCGTAGGTCAATTGCAAAAACATTGCATTCATATTTTTCATCATTCTGAGGTCTTAAATGATACAACATTTAAAATAATGCATACCCAGGATATAAGCAATGTGCTGCATACTTACCAGGTGATTTTTATGCCACTTTGCTGAATGCAGGATTAATATATTTGGGCTTTTTATTGCTTGAGTAGAAGGTGCTCATTACTTATTATTTTATAATATAGAAAATTTTAAAAATCAGATTTTTTTTGTTTTTGTTTTTGTTTTGTTTTTTTAATGGCATACATCACACGGTTGTAGTGGTTGATTTCCTCAAGATCGTCTTCTGTGGTTTTGGTGCAGTGGGAGGAGGCACAGTTGCAGGTCTGACAGGGGGGAAGCTGTTACTGTGGCTTATTCCCAGTCCCCCATTTTCTAGTGGGAAAGGAGGGAGATGGGGTGGAGGAGGGAGGGGAGGGCCTTGGTGAGGAATCTTTCCTGGTGGGTGGACAGGTTCGCTGTGTAAGTGGACCTCCCTGTTTTTTATGTTATACCGGGCATCACAGTCAGGACAATAGCCATGGTACTGTACTTTTTCATTAAACCGAACTCGTTCTCGAGGCCCTGCCTGGGTAAATCTGTCTTTTTCAGGTCTATGCATCAGAGGCTGCACTGAAGCCTTGTCCAAGTTACTGTTGGGTATGCAGCAGATATCTCCATTTGGAATTTTGTTAGGTCCACCTGGTAAGCCTCCATTTCGTAGAAGGGTGCCATTGGTCTTTAGGGGATTGGCAGTTGGAATCACCCTTTTGGGGTCTTCACACTTCACAGGTGTCAACCGTGGAGGAGGTGGTGGAGGGTTTGGCTTTCTCAGGACTGTGAGGATAGCAGATGGGTGTGCTGGGGGTTTAATAAGTGGTGCATTAGCCTGCACTTTGATCTTCTCTAGGCTGGAAGCTGTTGTGCCACTTGAGCTACTGTTCAGCGTGTCTGTTTTGGAGCTGTCAGTCATCTCATCCTCCAGCTGTAGGTCAGAGGTCAGGGTGTCAATCTGGTCAACCACCTAGTGGAAAGGACAAGGTAATTGTGTTGAAGAATGACGCAAAACAAAGTATCCTAGAAACAATTTCTTTCTGTCTAGGGGAAATCTGCTATGGGATCCTTAACTGATGTTGAACTATGCATTCCATTGCTGCTTGATGTTTTCAGTCAATAAATTTACAGAATAGTGACCATCACACAGAGGGACATCTGTTTGATAACATAATTTCAGATGCCTAGAACATAACATATTATTTATGTATATATTCTATTCCTGACTCTGCTATACCCACCCATAAAAGATGAAACCTGACATTGGAATATAACTGATTTTTAAAAATAATCAAAGGGAGTTTTCCTTCTGCTTAACATGTAGAAAGCTGTAGGAGAACACTGCTTCCAATTTTGAAATTAGAAAAAGACAGATAATCTGCCAAATCATAACTTTTCATTAGATCAGCAGAGACCTGCCCTCACAAAGCAACCAAATAAACTGGTCAAGTGTTTCAAGCTCTCTGAAGATATACAGAAGACATCAACTGTTCAACCTTTAGAAAATCACAGGAAAAAAAGGCAGCAGCCATCGGAGTGAGCAAAGAAAACAACTAAAACTTTGGTGACTAGTTAAAGTTTGGGTATGTGCTATCATGACAATTTAGAATCCTTGGGAATCTCAGATACAGTATCATCTGCACTCATTCATGGCCTCCTCTTCACGGACCTCTTATGCTGAGGGGCGGAAAGGGACTGAAGAGAGTTCCCTGTTGGGCACACAGGCACAAAATCCCATCCACTTCTCAGGCTCTTCTCTCTTGCAAAGCAGAACCTTTACTGGTGCAGTAGCAAGAAACCCTTCAACCTCTAAGACACAAAATATCTTTTGCTTCTGGAAGAGGGTAGAAGCAAAAGCTGTCTCACTTTGGAGAAAGTCAAAGAAAATTATTTGAGCCCAGAACCTGAAACTAATAAAAAGCACATGTTTACTATCAGTAGGGGAATGACAGGAAGTCACATCAGTCAAGGGCTACTACAGGCACAAGGCAGTGGAGGCAGTGACTCAGTTAAGGCTGGCAGAGGCATCAGACCATAATGCAGGTCAGAACTCAAGTTAAGGAGAGAGGTTGTGAAGACAGGAACATTGAATGGAAGCATCTTAGACAATGCAGTTCTAAGGAGTGTTTGGCAAGGATGCTGGGGAGACTGACATCTCTCAGGGCTACCTTAGCATCTCTGCCCTGTTCAGTCATTTGCTGGGAGCAGCAGTGTGGTCACTGCTCAAATGCTGGCTTTCAGAGTACAGCATTAGGGTCCTCAGTCATTTACACTCTCTGCATTCAGAGGTCTTGGAGGCCATTCTCATAGCCACTGTTCATGTACTGTTATACATATATAAAAATGGAAAAGTTATGGGTTATTTTAAAAGGAGTTTATGTAAGAAGACACTTCCTTCATTTCACACATTTCCATCCCATTTATTCCATATGGAGATTTTTCCTTCCTCTCTTTCTTAGGTCTAAGTTTAATCAACTGTGAGGTTGGCTCTTTGTCACACGGTGGCAGGATTGGGCTCAAAATGAAAACACCAAAAGCATCTAGACGTTGGACGGGATATAGACCTTCGTCATGAGGCTCTTAAGTGATTGATTCCACCAGGCAGGTAAATGTCACCAGCGTTGAGTCTTTGGATCTCAAAAGCCTGCAAGCTCTGCAGTTTCAAAACATTCAACAAATATAATAAATTCAACAAATTTCCTTTAGTGTTTTCTATTTTAGCAAATGACAACACAAACCTCCCATCTGAAAAATCAGAAATCCAGAAACTATATTTGATATCACCCTTTCACTCTTCTTCTGGTCAGAAGAACAAGGCCTTCTATTTTAGCTCCTAAATAATAAATCTTAAATCTATTCACTTTCCTCCATTTTCACTTCTGTAATCCTACTCTGAGCCTGTGTGATTTACCATATGGACTTTCCAAAGGCACTTTGCTTCCTTTTCCTTTTCAATAGTCTTGAATTTTTTTTTTTGAAACAGAAATATGCTTTTGTTAACTCCTTGTTTAAATCCTTTTGATGCCTGCTCATTTCTCCTGTGATAAAGATCAATTCTTAAGACAGACGTCAGGATTCTGCATAGTCTCACTCAATGGCATACTGGTAAGTGTTTATCAGCTGGCTCTTGGCAGTGGAGGAATGTCTTCTTTCAAAAGGTTTATCAATTTTCAGGTGTAAAATCCCACTGTGGTTGATTTCAGGTTAGCAATGCGACATTACTGAATCCGAGGTTGGGAAGAAATGTGCAGTAGCACACAATCAAAAAGTGTTTCCACTGCATTGATATACTATACATAAATAAACTCAGGAGCACAAATAATAGTGAACTGCAGTGAAATCATTAAAAATAACAGGGAATAATTAGAAAACCTTTGTTTTTAATGTAATTTGTTTAATTATAAGTTTATTCAGTTTCACTTTTAATAATTGTTGTGATTAACAACCAATCAGCTCACACAATTTTTAAAAATATGATTGGCTTTTTAGCTTATATGAGTCGGTTCCAGTCACTGTCTCACACTCCTAAATCACTCTCAATCCTCAACTCTATTTCTGTTCCCAATATCTCTGGTCTTCTTTAGGCCCTCACAATCACCAGTCTGCTTCCTGCCACAGAATGTTCGCACAAACTAATATTTCTTATTGATATGTTCTTCCTTTTTCTCCTAGTCTAGTTAACTCTTACACATCTTTAAAATCTTGGCTGAAGAGTCACATGTAAAGTAAGGCTTCCCTGTCCTAAGGCAATTATAGGTCAAGTTAATGTGTTAAATGTTCACAAGGTATCTTCTTTCATTCAAAGGATTCATATTATTTTAAATTACATGTTTAGTGATATTGTGAGTATCAAAATCATGTTTCCCAGCTAGACTCTAATCTCAGTGGGAGTAGAGACCCTGTTTGTTTTTCCTATTGCAATCTAAAGGCCTAACACAACAATTGGTACTATTTAGGATCTCAGCAAATATTTGCTAAGTAAATGCTCCGAGGGTTACTCCTTCAATTTAAGTGTGAGCAAAAGCATTTTCTTTCCAATTAGATTTTTGGAAGTGGTTGTTACTTCAAAACTTGCTCAGTTATTGTAGAAGAAAATGGGAAAAACAGAATTTATCCATAATGACCACCAAGTTGGTTGCATATTTTCTAGCTCTATGTAGAAATTAAAGTGAAAGGCTATCTAAAGAATGTGACAGCTAGACAGTCTTGGCTCATGGGTCCGTTTCCTATTTCACCTGGAGGTATCTACCCTGCACATTTTATTGTATTAAATACTGCAGCAAAGGAGAGAAAATGTGTCTACTATGAGGGAAGTGAAGCTGATATTCAGAGATGAATAAATGCCACATCAGTCCCTGCTGGTTTTATGCTTCCTACCTGGTTTAGTCTCTATTTTGTTAATTCCTGAGTGCCTATAAAATGCCAAGAGAATAAAAACCAAAACACTACTTTAATGGAGCAGGGAATCCAGTGGAAGGGCCTGACTTTGACTAGATCCGCAAACAAGTAAATTTAAAAGTGCAACTGTCTCAAGTGCTCTGAAGAATGTAGGATGTTATAAGAGGGGAATGAGACCCCATCAGAAAGGTCAGTGAAGCATTCTGTAAGAAAGAGTTGGAGCTTACTGGCAGAAGAGTGGTTCAAGCAGTCTGCTCAGGAAAGAGCCTGATAAAGGTCCTATGACAGACAGAAGAGATCACCTGAGTGTGAGTGATTTAAAGACTGGGTTGGCTCAAAGACACTGTGAGAGATGAAGTCGGAGAGTTAGATAGCAGCTATTCCATGAGAGCCTTTGGGATGAGATGATAAAGTACCACAATTTTTTTTTAAAGAGTTGCAGAAGTGAAAGAAGTAGTATTCAAACAGATAATGAGTAAGTGCTTTTTAGAACTAAAGTGTCTTCTAGTTAAAGTACACAGAGTTTCAAACAAGAAAATATAAACAAACCCTCAGACATATCACAGTGAAACTAGAAAACACTGAAAAACAATGATAAAAGTTTTACAACAACAAAAAAAGGAACACCAAATATTTATAAAGTAACAAAAATTAGGCTGACAGATTTTCACACAAGTAACCATTGTCCCAAGATGACTTAGAAATAGGTTCATACTGAAAAATAATTGGGAATGTCAATATAGTTTAACTGATATAGAAGTGAGATAAATAGATATTTTTAGACAGCAAAGACTGAGAGAATATTGCTCTTATAGCTCAGTATTGAAAGTGCTGATAAATGAAAATTCAGTGAAAGGTAAATAATCAGAAGGAAGAACTGGAATGTAAGAAACATTGGCCAGGTACGGTGGCTCATGATTGTAATCCCAGCACTTTGGGAGGCTGAGGCAGCCGGATATGAGGTCAGTAGATCAGGACCATCCTGGCAATATGGTAAACCCTGCCTCTACTAAAAATACAAAAATTAGCCAGGTGAGGTGGTGGGTGCCTGTAATCCC